AAGAAACATTGGTTGTGATACCAAGTCTGAAACTTTATTACTCTGCTCATTGCTTGTAAAAGTTCATAGAAATAGTTTGTAATATATATATATATATATATATATATATATATATATATATATATATATATATATATATATATATATATATATATATATATATATATATATATATATATATATATATATATATATATATATATATAAAACATTATAACTAATTGTAGATTGTAAATCTCTGGAGATGATCAGAATTGCAAATTTTATTAAAAACCTTTCATGTGTAAAAGCATAACTCCCTGGCTATCCGCTTCTAATTCATGTATGACGAACCTTTTTGTTAAAATAGTTTGCATACCTGCAGTAGAAAGAGGCAATTAAAGCAGAAAATAATATTCTGTAAACTATTTATTTAATACTTAAGAGAGTATTGAAGTGAGCTCTGAAAATACCGAATGCAGCTGTGACAGGATTTTTTTTTGCACTAAAAGAAATTTCCGTTTTTAGTAGAATATTAAAGTTTAAGAAATTAAATCTTAAGATAAATATTTTTAAATCTCCTAATACATAAAAATACCTTATGCTTAAAAGCGATTTAAGAATAAAAGCATAATGCATTTTTATGTATTAAAAGAGGATTAACCTGTTCTTTTGGTGGCGTCACGGAAAGTATTGTCATTGAAAAGATTGAATCGGTAAATTTGAGGATAAGTTTTTTGAAAATAGTTTTGTTTAAAAAGCAAAAATAATCATTGACAATTTATATATTTTTTTAAAATGGGATAAGTATTAACTTAACGTTATAAATATCAATTATCATATAATTTGTCAAAAATTATAGAACAAAAAAACCATTTACTGAAAGTTATTGCTTTTTTATCATTTTGTATGCTGTACATATTAATTAAAATATAACTATAAATAAGGAAATTACCTTTTACAAGTTTACAAATAAACCCATTTTTGACATAACAATCATTGTCATTCCAACCAATATTATTCATTTCTACACAGTTTTCCCCAGTATTACCATTGTCGGGTCTTTTAGATAACCAATTAAAGTATTGCGGATTTTTGTTATCCGACCACGTAAACTCTCTGTTATTGCAATCATCATTGAGTCCTTTCATAAACACATTTTTCAATATAAAACAAGAACTCACGTAAGTTTTTTTTTAGAAAAGAGCAAAATTAAAAAGTACAAAAGTACAAAAAAAAAAGTTAAAGAATAAAAATGAAGATGTAAGGTATAAAACTTATCTTACCGATCCAGTAACTACCTTTTTGCATACTATCATCTTTAAGAATATTTAAAATAAAAGAATTTTCAGCTTTATCCTCAATACTTAACAAAGATCCACCCATAACCTGACATGATAAAGAGGCATTCTTCCAACTTTTTCCTTTCAATGTTTTATTTTGGAAAAAATAGCAATGGTTTTTATACTCAAACCAACCATCATCACAGCCAAAATTTACTACAAAAAATTCACATATTGTTTAACTTTTTCTATTAATATTAAAACTTATATCTTTTAATTTTTATTTTAGTTTTTAAGTACTATGACTATTTTGTTAAATTTTAAAATTTTTTTGTTGCATTTAAAAGGTCAGAGGATTTTTAACAATATTTTTATTTCAAGAAAATTCACAAAAAAACAATTTTGGTCTTAATACTTAACTGCATAACAATAACTGTGTCATATTTTGTGAACATAATGGCATAACTATGTTTTCATAATTGAAAATAGTATTTATTCTAATTGCACTCAAAATCTATCATGTCTTTTGAAAAAAATCAATTGTCTATTGCAGGAACTGGCAAAGCAAGCACTAAATTGGTATGAGACGATGAATCAAGGTTAATGAAGGTTCATTAGCTCATTTAAATTTTTTGAAAATGATATTCTCTTTGTGTGACTTCACCACTTTAAAACCACCTTCATCACTTCAAAACCACCTTCACCACTTCAAAACCACCTTCAGCATTTTTAACAGCCTGTGCTGTGTTGTTACAACCTGATTATTTTTAATTGGTTGAACGATAAATTTTTGGTTATTTTATTAATTATATACTGTAGAGCTTCTTGAATACATTTTTAAAAACTTGATCAAAATAAACAATTTTCAACTTAATTTTTACTTTTAAAAATTTTTTAAATTTTAATTTTTTTTTTTTTACTTTTAACAATTTTTTAAATTTTAAGTTTTTTTTTTTTTTTACTTTTAACAATTTTTTAAATTTTAAATTTTAGTTTTAGCTTAAATTTTAATATGTAATTCAAAGATATAAGGTTTCGGCAATAGCCTCAGTTCCTTACTCTAAAGTCCTTAATAAAAGAGGGGGGAGGAAGGTTGGGGTTGGAGTGGGTATAAAAGCGGGAGTGGAGCATTAGTTCAGATCTGATAAACGGAAGGATGGGGAGGGGGGATTAATAAAAGGATGGGGTGGGAATTTTTTTTATGTTACAATATAAGTATTTTTTTATTATAAATTTCAGTTTATAAATCCAAACTAATATTTTTTGCACAACACAAATAAAAGTATTTATTTCTAGCGTGGCTTGCGATCAAATGCGCATTCTTAATATCTGATTTATCATAATTTCAATAGGACTCCCCTTTTATTAAGGACTCGAGAGTACTTTTACAAACATATATTCACAAACTTTTTAAATACAGTGTTTACAGTATTTACATCTAGAATTTAAAAATATTTTTCAAAAATTCCTAATTTTTAAGTTTTTCTTACAAATATTTTTGTTTTAAGACATAAACTGCACATTTATTAAATAAAACATTTATTAAATAAACTGCACATTTTTTAAATAATTAATGTATTGAACAATATATATAAATGAAATGATAGAACATCTTTATCAAAAGCAATAATATTTATACCACTGTGAACCAGAGATGAGTTTAGGTTTAATGGAGTGTCACTCAAGTAAAACCTTTTTTATTTAAGAGTATTTGTATTATAACAATAAAAAAGAGATTTTTTAAAATCCGAATAAATTGCTAAGGTTCATAAATGGGGCAATAGGGAAAACAAAAAAGGGGGGGGGGGCATATGTCTATTTAAGTGTGCTAGTTGCAAATTACAAAAAAAAATCTTTAAGTCAAGAGTATTTGTTTCATAAAAATAGTGTTTTTAAAATTAAAAAAAAAAATGCTTAGGGTCACAAATGGGGCAAAGGGTAAAATTGAGGGGGACCTAATCCATTTTACCATTTTAGGCTCCCGTTGAATTTTTCTTTTAAAAACAAATGTCAAATAAGTTGAACAAAATATTAAGCAACGAAAAAAATTTTAAATTTTATAAAATTGCTGTAAATATTTTACATAATCCGACAAAAAGTGAATAATTGTTCTTCCGGGTATTGAGCAGTATGTCAAAATTAAACTTTTATTCCATCAAGACTTCTTGCAAAGTTGATTCACGCATTGAGTATGCTTTTTTAAAAGTGTAATTTTAGTCTGTGTAGGTTTAAGTATAGAATAAACTGTCCATACTGTTCTGAAAACTGACAATAAATTGTTCAGCAAACTTGGATGATGGGAATCTTGGTTCAATAGGAAAGAATTTTTTAATAAAGCAAATAATAACTTGTTCTTATTCAAAAGAGTTTGAACAAAACAAGAGTTTTTTACTATTTTAAAGTATTTTATACACTAAAGTATAGGTCTATGGTGAGGAAACTAAGACGTAAAATAGTATTTGAAAACTAATTTCTGTCTATTCAAGACAGTTTGCTCAACAATGTGGAGAGTTTATTTTAAATTTGAACACATATAAAGAAGCTTTGAACCTAAAGAAGAATTCTGATGTTACTTTTAATGGAAGAAGAGATTAATTTATCATCAAATTTGACAAATTTGCTCATTAAATTTGACAAACTGCTTAAGACCCGAAAGAACAATTATTCACTTTTTGTTGGATCATGTAAAATATTTACAGTAATATTATAAAATTTTAAATTTTTTTTTGTTGCTTAATATTTTGTTTAACTTATTTGACATTTATTTTTAAAAGAGAAATTCAACGCGAACCTAAAATGGTAAAATGGGCTTAGGTCCCCGTCAATTTTACTCTTTGCCCTATTTGTGACCCTTAGCATTTTTTTTTATCTTTAAAAACGCTATTTTCTATTTTTATGCAACAAATATTCTTGATTAAAAAAATTTTTTTTGTAATTTGCAACTAGCACACTTAAATGGGCATATGCTCCCTTTGTGTTTTCCCTTTTGCCCCATTTATGACCCTTGGCAATTTTTTCGGATTTTAAAAAATCTCTTTTTTATTTTTATAATACAAATATTCTTAAATAAAAAAGATTTCACTTGAGTGACATTCCATCAAACCTAAACTCATCTCTTGTCCACAGTGATACTATTAATTAAACTAAGTGATTTTATTGTGTTTTTTTGCGGTGATGTTTATATGCTATCTCTAAAAATAGACTTGAACATTTTTTAGGAAAAATAAGTTTTAATCTGCACAAAGAAAAATTTTTCCTTAACCCAATAAAAAAATACTTGTCCCACATGTTTTCCATAAGGGTTTCCATGAGTTCCACTCAGTACCACATAGAACTCAAATGAGACAAGCAATTTTTTTCACTAAAAAATAAACTGCGAAAAAATTTCTTAAAAATATTTTATGACAGCAGAAAAAACAATTATTAAAAAAACCGGTAGTTTTACCTACAAAAGAATGGCGCAACGACAAACTTCTGTGAAAAAATAACTTCAGTCACAATTGAAGCATATTATAGGCAATCTATCTCTATGTCATCAACTCTTTTTTTGGATGGAAAAAAGTTTTATTACACTTCATAAAGATATTGTTGAATGACATCATTCATATTTCTGCTATCAGTAATTTGTATGGCGTCATTCTTTGATTTAAGACCCAAAACTTATATAATGGAGGAGAAAAAAGGTTTCAAATTAAATGAATCAAGAAAACAAAACGAAGGGAACGAATGCCAAATAAAGGATGTTTAAAGGTAAAAACTAGATGTAACACTATGTTTGGAACACTTATAAACAGTCACATTAAAAGGAGATCAATAGATTTAATCTCTCCACATTTATGTAATGCGCAACAAAATCTATTGGTTTTTATTGTTAACAAGTCAACAGTAGGACGAAAAGAACGAAATCGATATTGATGATAAAAAGTAAGTTGAAAATGAGAAAGTAAGTATTAATTAAAGGCTCAAAAACCTTGCTTCTGATAGGAAAAAGATTAATTAGTTGGTAGTTAGACGAGTTAGATCACTCTTCAGACATTTTGAAAGTAGAGAAAAAGATGCCGATTTCAGCAGGCTAGAAAACAAGATTCTGATAAGCACTTTATAACTAGTTTTGAAGGTTTAGATAACAGCTTCAAAGAACACTTCTGCTAGACTATAACAGGTATATTATCCGGACCACAAGCTGTAGAAGAGTTTAAGTAGTAAATTATTTTAGTTACAGAAGCTAGAGTAATACGATTGTCAAATAATGGATCAACCTGTTTATTGGCTATAGCAAGTAGGATGGGATTTGTAGAATTAAGAGATGAGATTGATAAAAAGTTCTTAGCAAACAATTCAGCTTTAACTTTAGTTGAGGTAACAATATAAGAACCATGTAGGAGGAGAAATAACAGATTTGCCTTTATTGTAGAAACAGTTAAAGATTTTCCAGAATTCATTAGAGACTAAATTTTGAGATGAAATACTAGAATTTTCGTCCCTAGAATAGTGGGCTTTGACATAAGGCAAAAACTTTTTTACGATGGTTTCTAGCAATAGTAGATAGATGTCTGCTATCTATAGAGTTGTTTTGGTAATAGATATATAAGTAATGATTACAATTGGAAATTGCAGCAGCGCAATGAGAGAAAACCATGGAGAAGAGTGAGGCTTGATTTGGTCTTTATAGTGTCTTTGAGTCTTTGATAGTGATTTGAGTCTTTAATAGTGATCTTTGATAGTGATCTTTGATAGTGATCTTTGATAGTGATCTTTGATAGTGATCTTTGATAGTGATTTTTGATAGTGATCTTTGATAGTGATTTGAGTCTTTGATAGTGAATAAAGCATTCAATGCCAGTCTGAATCCAAGAAGTTAAATGAAAGTCACATTTGTTAGTAGGAACACGAAAGATTTCTACCCAAAAACCATCACGAAAAAAATCATAGAAAGAGTCCCAGTTAGCTTTAAGGTAGTTGTAAGAAGTAAGATGGTAAAGGGATTCCGAAGATGAAGAAAAATGAGGTAACAGTTTTATAGAGATCAAACCGCGTCAGAAGCATTTTAGGGTAGATGTGGAGAAACTTTATACTGACTATAATCAGAAACAAGACATAAGTCGAGTAGAGAAGTTAAATGATTCGAATTATCTGAAAAACAAGTAGAAATGTAGAATATTTGTGTTAGAGATCGATTAATGAAAAAAAAAGAGTCTATAAAGCTAGAATCAAGCCATTTAGTGTGATGAGCATTTAAGTCACTAACAATAAAGATATTCGCAAAGTGATCAAGAAAAAGGGTCAATTTGATCAAAAACAACATAGAAAAAAGTGCAAACTTTAGATGACTGATAGCAATAGAGAACAAAAAAAAATGTGATAGAGTAAATTATTTATAAACGAAAGCACATAAAATAAAAGTTTGTGAATTCAAACCTAGTTTCCCAACAAATAGGTTGGTTTTTAACGAATACAGATGCCCAGGCCACGCCTGTGACAATTAGAGTCTTTATGAATTGAAGGAAGATATAAGTTGGTAAAGCAATCAACAAATTATAAATTTATTTAAGTTTTTAGTGAATTAACTAAACTATCTAATATATGTCAAATAGTTGCCTTTTAATAAATTTAAATCATTTTCAGATTATTTATTATTTTTATGGTACCCCATTATTTTTGATGGGGTACCATAAAATTATATTTTGATTAAAAATCACAGTTTGCGCAGACTTTTTTGATGCTTTATTGTGTTAACAACAATATAGTTATTTTATATTAATTTTTAGTGACTTTAAGGTTAAGTGAGTCTTAAGGATCAAATTTTAAATTCTTTTCTATTCTTATATATTTTTTAGGACATCCAAGTAGTTAAAAAAAAAAGATTTTATTCAATTACAAAGCATTAAATATAGAAAGGTTTAATGTTATATTTTTGTTACTTGTTTCTAGAGTTCTTATCTAAAAATCTAAATCTAATCTAAAGCATATATACTAATCTATAAAATTATTTATCTAAGCATTAAAAAAAATTGTAGTTAATGGGAGACTAGATGATAGAAAAAAAATGTAGGGGAGAGTGGGGAAAAGTGGGACGAGGGAAAAATGGGACAGCCTGAAATTTCTAATCAGGAGTGGTGCCTAAATTCTGTTATTTAATGTGAAAAATTAAATTTTTTCCCCTCTATTTAACAGAAATCGCTTTGTTTCTCTGCGTGTGCTAGAAGTCCTAATTTTGAAATGTACCTTAAAAAAGTGTTTTCATTGGGGTGAAATGGGACAGAAAAAATAAATATTTTTTCCCCGCTTTTTCCCGTCGCTATTTGATTATTTTGATTAAAGCCCTTGAGCATTTTTTTATCAATTAGGTGATTTTATGATTTTATTAGTTTCTATTTATAAATTTTTGTTAAAATGTTTATTTAAATTTATTTTTTTCACTTCTACTCACACTTGCCCCACCTTACTCCAATGGCTCGGTTTCTCTAAAAGCAAAAATTTATTTACTTAGTTATAATTGGCTGGAAACCTAAGAAGATTGAATCGGTCCCGAAAAAGGAGGTTTATTTGTAAAAAACTTGTTTGGTTCAGTTTGTACATCAAATAAAAAAGATATTGTAATTAACCTAAAATAAAATTTACGTGTCCCACCTCTCTCTACTTTGCCCTACTTAAAACATTTTTTTTAATAAACATGAACGTGTCATCAGTGGGCGAAAGACGTACTTTGAAAGTCTAAATTACGTTTTAAAAGTTATAAATACATATTTTAAACGTCTAAATACGTCTTGTGCCTACTGGGTATGGTTATCTAAACATGAAGATTTTCAAAATTAAAAAATATTTTAAATTAAATTGGATTTAAAATCAACTTTTTTTACTATACCGAAAAAAATAGCATACCGTTTAAGAATAATAACAAAACGAGGCATATTCCGAAATACTTCTCCATTTTGCATTAAAACTAATCTGTGTTTGGCTTCAAACTGAAAGAACAATAAATAAAATTTTTTTAAAGCTTTCTTTAATTTTAAAAATATTTTAGAAAATAATAAATGCTGTTAGTTTTTTTTAAAGTTAAATATTTTCTCTTGATGTGTAATATTTCACAATAATCAGCTACTGAAACTTGCGTTGTTAGGAAAATTCAAAATGCTATTTATCTATGGGAATAAACATAGTCTATGTTATCTATTTAAATTTGTTTTAGGCAATCTATTAGAGTTGTCTTCTTTTGAATAATTTGAAAACTTTTAATTCAATAACTTTTATTTTTGGTTATATCATTTTTCATCACCTTTTTTATTTTTTAAATATCAAATGATGTGTTAAAAATTAAACTCATTATTATAGCAAGTATACTTTTTAAATTTTTCATCCAGAGCAATATTAGCAAAATCTAAACTATTTTAAAAAGATTACATTTTAAATAATTGTTTGAATAACAGAATATTTTCCGATGCAGGCATTACACCAGAGAATTACAAACAAATTGCCTTGATGCTTTCAAATTGACATTACTGTTGTGTCTTACAAAATTGTTTAATATTTAAAATGGGTGCATTTTTTTTTAATAGGTCATCTACTAACTGACTTACGAATTAATTTTAGATTATGAGAAGTGCACAGCAAATAAAGTTAACAGGAATTTCTTCTTATATTAACGCTTTAACATCACGATTGTTTCATTTTATGTTGCTACTAATATCAAAATTTGAACTTTTTGAAATTTGAAAACAATAAATCCTGTATTGTAAACTTTATTTTGGCGATTTTAGCATTTTCATTATATCTATATATGGTAAATAAAAAATTAATAGATATAGAAAGGTAAAAAAATATATACAATGATTGCGCAGTTTCTTTTTAAAAAACAGAAGAGGGTATCAAATTTTTTTTTTTTTTTTCTAATTTTAAAAACGGTTACTTTTGCTGAAATGAATATTGTGGGAACTCTCATAAAATTCTTTCCAAAAAAAAAAAAAGATTTGGGTGGGTCATTGTTATTTTCAACGGAAATGAATAAAATTGCTGATTGACAGAGAAATAATATAACTTTAAAAAAAAAATTATGTAAAAATTTTAATAAAATTTACTATGTTAAGTTTGAAAAAAAAATGAATATTTGATAATATATAAATATCGTAGAGTGTGCCATCTTTATCACCTATTTATATAAAGTTTTAAAAATAAGAAGAGTTGATTGTTGTAAAGAGTTTCATGAGGAATCTGAATCTTCTAATAAAAAGTAGATCGCAAATGCGTTGCTTGGAGGATCCGCTTTTTATAGAAAAAATGAATTCAATACGATTAATTAGGAGGAAGAATTATATCCATTATAGTTATATATAAGAATTATAGCTATTTTGTTTGATAATAGAAAAGACATTACAAAAGTAAAACTTGAAGTAGAAGGATCCAGTCAAATTTATCTCCGATCTATCAAACAAGAACATTACACTACATGCGTGGAAGCAGGTGGCAGATTTTATTTTAGTTTTACAGTAAAAAAAAATCATCTGAATAAGAAAATCATGCCGAAACAGTTGCCAACCATATAGTTAAATCATACAGATCTAACATGGTGTTGATAAATTAATACAAGCATTGGGTGGTAATTCAAATATGTTAATACTGGATGGGAAATAAGTGTAATGCAATTTTTTTTGTATTAAAACTTAATAAAATGTTTAACAGGTTTATATGTGCTCCTTATACTAATGAACTACCCGTCAGACATCTAATAGTTAAATCAGTCGGAAAAACACTTTCAAATAATAAACGATTGGGCGAATTAAAAAAATTGCTGGATACGGTTACAAATTTAGTTGTAAACAAAATCTTCAAAAAATTAACTTTAGGTAAACTTGTTGTTTTGACAAAATACTTAATTACTCAGACAAAATACTTAAAGATTTTTCAGTTAATCAGGCTGACGGATACAGAATTGTAACAGCAATAAGGTCTATAGTATTACCTAAAAATTTATCATACCTTGAAATAGGTCCTGCATTTCATTTCATGTCGCTCACTATAGCCAGCTGTTTTTGTTGATTGAGTGATTCCTCATGAAAATCTTCACAACAATCAATTATTTTTAAAACTTAATATAAACCAGAAAAAGATGACACACCCTACAGTATTAACCAAATATTATTTTTTCTTAAATTCAATGTGGTATTTATTGATTTTATTTAAAATTTTACAATTTTTTTTTTAAAAGCTAACGTTTTCCTCTGTTAATTAGTCATATTTTAGTCATTTTTCTATTAAAGCAATGCTGACCCACGCAGCAACACATCATTTTTTAGTTTTTTTTACAGATTTGAAGACCTGAGGGGAAAAAGGGCACATGTCACATTTTCCAATCGACACACCCTATTGTAAGCAATATTTTATCGTCGCAAGCAACGTAATAGTATTTAACTAGTTACTAAATACCGTAGTATTCCATTTATGTACTAGCTTAATTGATGATGTTTATATGCAAATCGAAGTTTATGTTACGATACGAAGTTTGCGATTTCCACCTATGATCTCTAGATAGAAACATTTAAAAAAACTAATAACTTTAATACAAAATGAATATTCAATAGAACTCTTTTTTATATGTTGAAACATTTTATCTTTTTTTTTTTTTTTTTTTTTTTTTTTTTTTTTCAGCTTACAAAGTTAGTCGTTTTACAATACAATAAACTATTAAAATTACTTTACAAATATATATATACAAACCGTGTTAACAGTGTAAACTAGGTTTCCGAAAGAAGATCACTAAGATCTTATCATCGGAACCTTAAAAAACATTTATAAACAATATAATTTACGAATACCTTGTAAAGTATACGTTACAGTAAAGTAAAATATATATATAGAACTTTTACATTAGCAAATCTTTAAATATAAATAGTTGTTAACAACAAAACTTTAGGGAAAAAATATTAAAAATTTAAATAATAGATAAATTAATTAATAGTACTCTAAAATGTTATCGAGGGAAAAAATTAGATTTTTAATTTTGTTTTTAAAAAGACAAAAAGAATTTGGTCGATCAAAATCAACATTAGGTAAAACAAGTTTATTCCATAGGTGCGGTGCACGATAGGCAAGACAAAATTGATTAAAATTTGTTTGACAAAAAGGTTCGTTAAAGAAATTTTTTCTTTTAAGAGTGTATTTGTTGCTGGGTTTTAAACTAAAAAAATCTTTAAAGACTGGGGGGGATAGATTGTTTTTCCACATATAAACAAAGCATAAAATTTTTAAAACGTTGAGTTGAAATACATTTAAGATTTTCATCTCAATAAAATAAGGTTTACAATGAGAAAAACGATCAGCAAAGTTAATTATGCGAATTGCTCGTTTCTGACAGCGATAAAGACGAAGTAGTTTACTTTTTTCAGTACTTCCCCAGGCAATATTAGCGTAGTTTATGTAGCAGTGAATAAATGAGAAATAAAGTTGCCTTAAGTGTTTCTTATTGAGATAAGTTCGAGCTTTGTACAAGACTCCAATGTTTTTAGAGACTTTAGTGCATATATAGTTAATATGTTGATTCCAATTAATGTTCTCATCGAGATAAACACCTAAAAATTTAATAACGGAGTCTCTTTTTATTTCAATTTCATCAATAAAGATTGGAGGCAAGTTTAGGGGTAAAAATTTTTTTTTCCTATTCGAATGAAAAAGAGTCCATTTAGTTTTGTCAGTATTTAAAGTTAATTTGTTGGACTTGAACCAGTGGGATAAAACTTTAAGTTCTTTATTCACTGTGACAAAAAGTTCGCCAACATCGCTCTTAGAGATGAATAAATTAGTATCATCAGCAAACATGATGCTCATCAGATTAGTTGCTTTATTTAAATCGTTTATATAAATTAAAAAAAGGAGAGGTCCGAGGATTGAACCTTGTGGAACTCCACAGGTTATACTTAAACAATTATTGTGATAGTTGTCATTACCAACAACAAATTGTTTTCTATTTGTTAAGTAACTTCTGAACCACCTTAACGCTTGGTTATTTACTCCATAGTATTCCAGTTTTTTGAGTAGGATGTGATGGTCAACCGTATCGAAGGCCTTCGATAGGTCGATAAAGATACCTAATGTATATTTTGATTGTTCAAACGATTTTGAAATTTCATTTACAAGTTGGATAATTGCATGCTCTGTTGAGCTATCCTTTTTAAAACCAAATTGATTAGCATAGAGTAGGTTATTTTTGTCAAAGTGTTTATATATTCTGTTGTACATAATTCTTTCTAAGATTTTTGAAAATACAGAGAGCACAGAGATGGGGCGATAATTAGTTATTTGGGATTGGTCACCATCTTTATAAATAGGTGTAACTTTGGCAATTTTTAATTGTTCTGGAAAGATTCCTTGTTTGATTGAGGCATTAAAAACTTTGAAAAGAACATCTTTTAGTTGCTTAAAGCAATCTATTATCACATTTCCATCTATTTCGTCTGGTCCACATGATTTATTCTTTTTAATAGATTTGAGCGCCTTTTCAAGTTCTTCAATTGATAAGTCAGAGGATAGCTCATCAGAGCATATGCACTTCTCCAAGGATAATAAAAAGTCACTAAACAAAGTTCTTGTGATAGGAATCTTATTTGATAGTTTAGGACCTATTTCAGTAAAAAATTTATTAAATTCATGTGATATAGCGTTTGGTTCAAATATGCTAGTGTTTTCTATTTTAATCATTTGTGGCAGAAAACCAAAGCATGATTTTTGTTTTCCTATAATTTCCTTCATTATTTCCCAAGTGCGCTTGGTGTTATATTTGAATTTGTTAAGTAATTCCGAGTAATATTTTTTTTTTAAGTTTTTACGAATTTTCTCAAATAAATATTTATAGTTTTTGTAAATTTTTTCGCTTGCAGTTGTTTTTGTTTTTAGAAAATTTATGTATAACTTTTGTTTGATTTTGGAAGATTTTTTAAACCCCTTGGTAATCCAAGGAGAATTCAAACTCTTTGGTTTTGCTATTATTTCAACTACGGGAAAGTTAGCGTCGTATACAGAATAGAAAGTTTTGAAGAAAGTTTCATATATGTCGTTTGCATTATTGTTTATGTTAATATTATTCCAATGGAGTAAGGATAGTTGGTCTTTGAATAAATTAAGGTTATTTTGATTAATGATACGTTTCTTCAATACTTTTTTGTTGTCAATGTTTTTTGCTGTATATGTATCAATTGTTACAAAAATGGGAAAATGGTCCGTTATATCAGTTTTTAATATACCTTTTTTTATACCCTTATTAAAAATATCAGTTGAAATAATATTATCGATTAAAGTCGCTGAGTTTATAGTTACTCTGGTAGGGCGATTAATGAGGGGGATTGATCCTGTTTCAAAAAATGTGTCATAAAAACTTTTTACTTTATAGTCATTGTTATAAAGAAAGCAATTCATATTAAAATCCCCAAGCAAAATATTTTTTTTCTTTTCGGTATCGCCTTTTTTAATGACGTTATGCAAAAACATGCTAAGGTTTTCACTCATGCCAGCAGGTGGCCGATAACAACAGCTAACTAATAAGTTTTTTGTTTGGTTGTTTTCAATTTCAATTGTTAAGACTTCTTTGTCGCTATCAGAAATGCTCAAATCGCCTCTAAAAACAAACCTAAGTGTTTCGTGCGCATAAATTAGTACTCCACCACCTCGTTTATTTATTTGTCTCTCCAAAGAAATAATATTAAAATGCGGAATTTGAAAATGACTATTTAGATCTTTTGATGTAATCCACGTTTCTGTTAAACATATTATATTAAAAAGGTTTTTCGTTTCTTCTATTAGATTTAAAAGTTTTTCAAAGTTACTATTTAGACTTCTTATATTGAGGTGGAGAATTCTAATTTGATTCGAATTTTTGTCAATAACATTCTTAAAAAGATACTCTTCTAGTTCACTTGGAAAAATATACGAACAATCTGAAAAAGTCTCACAATAAAAATTATTGTCGGGATCTGAGTTTTCGTCCTGGGAAAAAAATCCTTTTTCGAAAAAATTAAACGCGAGAGATTCAAAATTATTTAATGCAGCCATGATTGTTTTATATATGTTTAAAAGAGTTCTTTTTAAGAGTGTGAATTAGTTTTACTTTTTTCTATTGTTATCATAAAAAGAATTTTTAAAACAAATAATTTTATCATACCGAACCGCAACATTCTCTCCGTTTAAACGTCTTTGTTTTACGTCAGTAAACAATTTTTTCCTGATGGCAACGGTTTCGAGTGAAAAGTCTTCGTTAACGAAAATGTTTGTTCCTTTTATTCGTTGTAGTTCTTTCAGTATTTTTACTTTATCTTTATATCGTTGAAGGTTGAGGACTATTGTCCGAGGTTTTCCATTTTTCTTTTGTCCTGTGCGATGGGCACGCTCAATTTCAATGTCTTCAACACCAAGTTTTTGTTTGAAAAATAAGTGGACTTTTTCTTCTGTTTGTCCCCAGGTTTCTTTTTCGTCTTCGTATAATCCATCTATTCGTAGATTATTTCTACGTGAACGATCTTCAAGTTTTCGATGTTTTTCTTTTAAAATTTCGTTTTCGATTAATTCCTTTTCTAGTTGTTTGCTATTGTATTCGATTTTTTTATCAATAATGCTTTCGTTAAAGTTTATGCTATCGCTTATTTCTTCAATTTCTTTTTCAATTTTTTTGATTTTTATTACATTTTCATTAGCATTGGTCTCAAGCTTGTCCAATCTTTCGTTTAAAATTTTCAGATTTCCACTGATTATGTCTAGAACTGTTTGTTCGTGTTTTTTAAACATAGCTTCGGTTTCTTTTTTAAACTCATTAAACATTTCTTTTTTAAATTCACAAAACATTTCTTTAAACATTTTCTTTATTTCTTGAAGAGTCAAAGCCATAATGATTTACAAGGATGCTGAATTGATTTATAAGAAGATATGTATTTAAATGTTTATATGTTTTTAAAACTTTTTTCTTTCTTTAAAACGCGTCTGTTCGCTTCAACGTATTAGCGTGAATTGTTGTGAAATTTTATAATATTTTATTTCCTTTTTTTTATCTTGTTTTCTTTAGGAGATACAATGCGACTCTAAGTCGTATATTAAATTTGACTTTTTTAGATAGAACAATAAAGAAAGTTATTTTAATACACTATGCTTAAACTTTTTCAAGACTGCATTCTACATTAACCCAATCGAATCGAAAGTTGAATTGGTTATTACATTATCTTGCAAGTAACTAGTTAAATAAATTTCTTGCCTTAGCTACTAATTTGTTTTTGAAATTTATGAGAGCTCAAGATTCTTTTAGGTGCAGGGAGTCTGGAAATTTTATGATATTTTATAATATTTTAGGTGCAGGGACTCTGGAAATTTTATAATATTTTATAATATTTTAGGTGCAGGGACTCTGGAAATTTTATGATATTTTATAATATTTTAGGTGCAAGGACTCTGGAAATTTTATGATATTTTATAATATTTTAGGTGCAGGGACTCTGGAAATTTTATGATATTTTATAATATTTTAGGTGCAGGGACTCTGGAATTTTTATGATATTTTATAATATTTTAGGTGCAGGGACTCTGGAAATTTTATAATATTTTATAATATTTTAGGTGCAGGGACTCTGGAAATTTTATGATATTTTATAATATTTTAGGTGCAAGGACTCTGGAAATTTTATGATATTTTATAATATTTTAGGTGCAGGGACTCTGGAAATTTTATGATATTTTATAATATTTTAGGTGCAGGGACTCTGGAAATTTTATGATATTTTATAATATTTTAGGTGCAAGGACTCTGGAAATTTTATGATATTTTATAATATTTTAGGTGCAGGGACTCTGGAAATTTTATGATATTTTATAATATTTTAGGTGCAGGGACTCTGGAAATTTTATGATATTTTATAATATTTTAGGTGCAGGGACTCTGGAAATTTTATGATATTTTATAATATTTTAGGTGCAGGGACTCTGGAAATTTTATAATATTTTATTTCCTTTTTTTTAAAAAAAATTAACAAACATTTACAATATATTATCAGCTCCAGAACCAAAAAATGAATTGTCACCTGACACCACAAATTATTTCAAACTCCACAAAGTTTTCTGAAGTGTAATAGTTTTTTTTAATTCATAAATATTTCTTTTTATGCTATATTATACATTTAAATATCTTGTAATTATGTGTTTGGCCTTAGATACCAGAGAAAAAGACCATTAAATAGCCTTAGAATAGAAAAACAATGGGAAATGCAGAAATATCCACTCAATAATATTTTGCCTGTTATAAATTAAATTTTAGAAGGGTATAATTTTTTTTTTTTTATATATATATAAACTTTTCCTCATGTCTTCATAGAAAATAAGGATCTTTAAGTTGCATTCTGAAAAAGTGTTGTTTTTTTAAAGTACGGGGTTGTCCATTAACTACATCAACAAAGGGGAGGAGGGTCTGAACTTTTTTGACAATTATTGATAAGAGGGAAGGGGGAGGGAAGGGGGTCAATTAAAGTTGATGCCAATAATTTTTTTTTATTTTTGAGTTTCATTGCTAAAATAACGGAAAATGGCTGAGTTTGTAGAGTAGCTTCTTTGTATAGGGGGGGGGGGGAGGTAATAAAAAATTGACGTAATTTTATAGGGGTATTTGAAAATTTGACTAACTGTTAACAAGGGGGAGGGGAGAGGTGAAAATTTCAAAAAAATTGTTGACGTAATTAATGCACATCCCCTACTCTTTATGGTTTCTCTTTCGTATTTATTTCCGTACCAATTTTCTTTTAAATCTATTTAACAAATTTCGTAATAACTATTTTCCTAAAAAACAAATTATTTTAAACAAAAAATTGCAAAATAGTTCATTAAGCGATTTTTATAATATTCAATAATACCATAAATATGATCATAAAAATTGATATTATAGTTATTTATCACCAAAAAGTTACAGTTACTAATTAAAAAAATTATCATACTAATAAACTGTTAATATCACAAGCACGTTTAACTTCATCGCTTTTTTTGGATTAGACGAAACGATCAAATTTTTTACTTTTAGTTCAAATTACGCTAGTGTTTTAAAAAGTAAAATTAAAATATTAAAAAAAGAATAATAATAATTCAGTAAACTATTACCTTTGGTAAGAAATCATTCGATTCAAACGCACTGAGCCGAGTTTTATTTGCATTAACCTGAAGATTAAAGATTTTAAATTAATAAGCAGTTGCAAACAAAAGATGACGCTAATACGAAAACAATAAAATAATAAATAAAATATAATTTTAATAACTAAAATTGTATTCATTTTAACTTTTAAAATCATTTTTTTTCAATTTGTATAAATATATTTATAAGGCATTAATTTGACTAGACTTATCTTATTCAAACAATTAAAGGCAAATAAATAAAGTTCAAATGTTATTTATTATGTAAAAATAATCTAGCTGTAACTATTTATATATTTATATAACTAAATTAAATAATATTATATAATGATAAATAACTATTTATATATTTAACTCCGCTATGGGCGGCTGTTATGCAAACCGTTCATATATTTTTTTTCCGCTATGAGCGCTTGTGATGCAAACTGTTTGTATATTTAGCTTCGCCATCAAACGGTTGCAAATTTTTTGTTGCTACTATGGAAACTATAAATAAACTATTTTGCAACAAGTCTATTTAAAAAGCTGATTCTATATTATAAACTCAACAAAACGTTCACTGAAAAAAAAAAAAAAAAAAAATGCAAAAAATAAAACAAATCTATGGATAACAAACGGCTTTCTAAAATCATCAAAAGGAAACCGAAGTATAACTTCGGATTTTTTTTGAAATAACTTTTATATAAATTTAACTTTTTATATTGGATTTTTTTATTTAAAAAAAATCCGATATAAAAAAGGGTAAATAAACAATAGTTTAACAAATTCTTCTGTAAATGAAAAAATTTATATAAAGTTAAAAAATCTTCATAAAAGTTAGTAGAAATTTGAAAATAAAATTGCTACTCAAGAATTTTAGAAAAAATTGATCATAACTCAAAACTCACGAAACAAATATACAAAGAATTTACTGGTGGATAAAAGAAGCAACTGGTAGACAAAAACATTTGTAGTTTTTGTCCTACAGATGATTATAGTTGATAAAAATGTTGAATCAAAAGCTCACGCTTTTATTAGGCTTTTTATTGATTATTTTATTGATTTTTATTATATTTATATTCAATATACTTTTTTTTTACTATTTATTCTATTTATCAATCTTAAACCAAAAAGTAAATTATAACCAATGTAAAACTTATTAATTTTCTAGTAGACGTTAGTAGGTATTTATTTCTAGGATAAACTTTCTATATTGCTAGAAATTATTTTCTAAATTTGTATAAATTATTTTATAGGAATTATCTTTTGAAATATTTTTTTAAGAGTTCGAAAATGCCATTAATTCTATAAAAACGGTACAAACCAAGTAGCATCGATGTTATCATTTGTTGTATGTTTGAATATTGGATGTTTGAAATTTGAGATGTTTTTTAATTTTTTTTTTTTTTTTAAATTTGGATGTTGAATGTGAAACACTTTAAAAAAAATATTTTCAAAGCTATGGTCCATTTTGTATAATGTTATTTTAGTATAAAGTTGTTTATTTTGATTCTGTTCATTAATAGTATTAAAAAGCTCTTCTATTTTAATTCTCAAAAAAATAGATATGGCTCATTTGTAATAAATTCATGACATTAAAAAAAAAAATGAACTTTTTTCCATTCAGCCTCAAAAAAGCTATTTACTCTTATATTTTCCTTTTTTTTTTTTGATAATATGAAGTTAAAATAAATTACGTTACATATTTTTCAAGTTATTTAACTGATGAAAATATCACATGAACACCACAAAATAATTTTATTATAATTAAAGTCTCTATAATCATTTGAATATTATATAGAGCTAGAACATATCTTTATAAAAAAAAGTTCAACCTCTATTTAACACTCACTTTTTTATTATTATCTAAGTTACAAACTGCCGCCAGAAACATGCAATCCAACAAATATTGCGGATACTAAAATATTTAACTATTTTTTAATAAAATAAAATCAAGTGTTTTGGAAATTTTTCTGCAATACGCTTAAGTATAAAAATATATCATTAAAAGCTACCTAGTTTAGTAAATAATTAAATTAGTAAAAACAATCCAATATCTTATTTTCGAGTAGTAAAAAATTATAATTCTTCTTTATATATAATTTAAACTTGAATCCATTAAAAATGTTACTTTTTTTTCATACTTTTTTTCAACTACATTGTTTTTACAGCTTATAACCATAAATACTTTTATTACAAATACATTCAAAAATACTTCAAAAATCATATTAAGTTAAAATCATATTAAGATATATATGATGTACTAAGTAATATAATGAAGTTACATAGTATTATAATTTATGTTTTGTGAAAACAACAAAAAACACCATAAAAGTTATTTAGCCTAGTGATGTAAATTTTTTCAGTAAAATTTGATTCAAAATTTACCAGTAAATTTGAATTAGAGAACGGTAAATTTTCCTTTAAAAAATTAAAAAAAAAAAAAAGAAAAAAAAAAATAAGCGAAAAATAATTTTAAAATTTACCTGGCGGTAAATTTTCAAAATTTTCCGGTAAATTTACCGGTAAATTTTACCTAATATAGTAAAACGGAACTCGCAGAAAATTTTGCGAGGTCTTGTCATTGAGAACCCTTTTTTATTACTTTCATAAGACTCATAATTATTTTATTTATTTAATTACGGACTTTCACAGAGCGCGGTTTCAGTGGATGACTTTTCCACAGAACAAAATGACGACTTTGTTTAGGTTGTTTGTAAAGCGTTTTTTGTTGTTCTAATTCTAATTATTTCTAATTTTTGCAAATGACTTTGCTCGTCTAATATTAGATAATTTTTATTAAAATAAATAGTATTAAAAAAGAATTAACACCATGAACTGGTTTTGGTCTTCATCTTTATGTTACAATAACGTTAATACAAAAAAAGAAGATTGAACTAAAATAAAGTATTATTCCCTACTAAATAATAAAAATCTTCAAAAACAATATCAAAAGATCTTAAAAACTAAAGGCATAAATTGGAAGAACGGACACATTTGTTGTGAACACTGAAGTTTAGGAAAAAGAGAACACTTCAACTCATTACCCGATTTTGTTGTCCCACCATCTCAGTATATTATTCATAAAAATAAACATAATAAATGTTTTATTCAATTTAAACAGCTTAAAGAACCAACAAATTTTAATAAACAAAAACTGAATTCGCACTGGTATTCGAGTTTCAGATAAAAGAACTGAATATTTTCAGTATTAACTATTTGTCATCATGCATTACTCTCTGGAGTTCTAGCACATATGTTATCAGTTTCCGACTTAGACTTTTTGCTGCATTGATAGTATTTTTAGAAACATTGTTTGATGAAGTTGATCTTCATCCTGATGATGGATATTTATTAAAAAGAATGCTACAAATATTTGTCAAGACTGGACATGGTCTAACTGATATGATTACAGACTGATTATGGTCATACTGCACAGAATTTATATTTCAACAAGCAACTAATTTTGATTTAAACACTTATAAGTTTTCTCATTACAAACAGGAAAAGTATTGATTGGTATTTCACCTTATGGAAGTGGTCTTTTGTTCAGTGATATTTATCCAGGTTTAATATCTAATAGTGCAATAACAGAAAAAACTGGTGTGTTAAGTTGGCTTACCCCTGAACATGAATTGTATTGAATTGTAATTGGCTGATCGAGGTTTCGCGGTCCAAGATTATTGTTCAATGAAGGGTGTTTATTTAAACCGACCAGCACAAAAATTTTTTGATATATTTTCACATGGAAATGTTTCAACAAATTTTAATATTGCTTCAACCAGAATTCTTGTTGAACGATTTATAGGGCGTGTTAGAGATTGGTCAGTTCTTAATACAGTTTGGCCTATGCAAAGACTAGACTTACTTTCAACAACATGGAAGACTTTGAGTCATATTGTTAATTTAAAAATGGATCCTATTATACCAAATCCTGAAAAAAAAATATTTAAAAGTATAAATTTAAAAATGTTTCTTTGAAAGTAGTTTGGTAGTTTTTTTTATTGTTATTTATTACAAGATACTAAAATTTACCATAGGAAGTTTACGTATTAATAAATTAATATTGGTACGTAAAGGTATTAATATATTAATATGGGTACGTAAAGATACTTTCGAAGCTTGGAATTCGACCAAGGGTTTCCTTTTCTAGAGTTGTAAATGACTTGTATTCTTTATCTGGCCAATCTGATATTGGTTTGTTTGAAAAGATACTGTCCATTAAATATTTTACTACATCCCACATAAATGTTGTTTTTCTGGATAAGGAAGTACTTATTATAGGTTTGATTTTCTTTGACATAATCATAATCCATCAAGCAACAAGCAGCCATTTTTGTGAAACGATAATGAAGGTGGTCAAAAAGTGATGAAGACTTTACACTTGATTTAGATAAAACTTTGAAACAATGCGATTTAAAAGGAATTTGTGTATCTTATATTTTAGACTTTATATTAAGTTTCATTTTAAGAATATCTCTTTTGAATTTTCTGGGTCTGCAACAATAATTATTTCCTCATGTACGCTTTTATTTATTTTTTTTGAAGCAAAATGTGAAGTAAGTTTAATTTGAAGGGGAACCATAGGTATTGAACCTTCTTTTCTCCGGTAATGCCATTTCAAAGTTGTTGGGTACAAGTAAAGAATAATATTTTTTCTTTTGTTTCATAAAAGTGCTTTGTTATATAAGGATACAATGAATCGTCACTTGCCCAAGAAGCAGTTAAAGGCAGGATATTTGTAGAACCCAAGAAAGTTTCAAATACAAAAATTCTTCTAAAATAAAATTTCTTATAAATAATTAGAAAAAGTTTTAATATTACCTTAAGGTGGTTTATAACAGGTAGAAACTATAATATTATTTTTAATTTTTATTGTAATTGAAAGTTTCTATATTGAATTAAATTATTATAAATGTTTAATTAATTTTCAATATAAAAGCTAAAACACTTTTTAAGCTTGCTAAAAAATCTTTTCTGATCAAGTTAGTTTGTATAAGTAGTACTGCTTGTATCAGATGTTAAATATCATAATAAAATAATCTATATAATAAAAATAAGGACTATTTTGTAATGAAATCTCAGTTC